TGTTCTATGGGAAGCAAAGGCCTATGCCTTGGGCGAGAAATTTTCTCCTGTTGAAGACCTAAATGTAGTCGTTGTTTCAACAGTTCACTACGATGTTCAGGATGAAGGTCGTGCCTGAACTTTGCCTGCATAAGCTCCTCAATTGATGGCTCAAGGTGTTGGGAGGCATGAAGAGCCTGTTGTTGCAATTCATGCAAGAGACGCTGTTTAAATAAGACCTGGTCAACATGCGAAGCTGCAAAAACAGGGTCATTCAACTGCTGCTGCAGCAAATGTTCGAAAAGCAACTCTTGCTGTTGCTGCTGTTGCTGCTGTTGCTTCTGTTGCATTAGTTGCATTTGGAGCTGAAGTTGCTGTTGTTGCTGATGCAATTCTTGTTGCTGCTGCAGCTGTTGAAGATGATGTTGCTCCTCTAACTGAAGTTTCAAAAATTGCTCCAACTCTGGCATATACTGGTTAACTGACTGCTGATGCTGCAGAGAACCTTGAATTTGTTCAATAAATGGCACAGACGAATTCTGACGAAGCTGTTGTTGCTGCTGCTGCTTCTGAAGCTGTTGTAATAACAGGTGCTCTTCCAAACTAATGCGACCAGCTTCTTGCTCAATCAGTGCTAAGTGATTTGCATTTGCAGCATCATGAAGAACACCTGAGCTAGTAGTACGTCTATAACTACTGTGCAAACCATCATGAACGCCTGAGGAATCTCCTATTAAACTGAAATGGGAATCCATCCCACCAACAGGATTCATGACACGCCCATGGCTGTTGACGTTAGCCAGGTTAGAAGATAATGGACGCTTTGGATGAGCTCCCTCCAGTTCAGACCACAATAATCCAAGAGGATTAAGCTCATTCTCTGTAGGAATGTTATGACCAGATGGCTTGGGCTGTCCCATATCATTGGCCAAAAATGAGTGAGCATTAGGGTTCTGTGACAACTCACGGAGGTCATTAGCAAGCTTCCCTAAAGGATTCTCCATGCTACCAGTGTGTCTCCCTGTATACAGTACTTCTGCAGAATATTGAAAAAACTTTCAGAAAGAACACCTAAAAGTGAGAAGACAATGCAAATGACTAAAAACATCAAGTCAGGCTTGTAAAAACAAACATTAAAAAAAAGGAAAAAAAAAGAACAACCTTCAATTTCTTGTCCAGAAAAATCATGAAGTTGTTGACTTTCAGAACAAGGAACACCCATGAGATTTTTAGAATTTGAGATTGGCAGCTTCTCACAGTGAGAATCCGCAGAATCATTATGTTCAACCAATCTAGGCTGAATATGAGGATCCAAAGGTTCCTCAGTTCTCGATGATGTCCATCGCTTCTCACTACCAGCAAAAGAACCAGTACCATCAGAAGCAGGTGCATCAACCTCCAGCTTGCCTCTTAAAATATCCAAAGATTCAGATTCTTCGATGTGATACTGGACAGAGCCGCCGTTAGAATTTAATGTCAAGTGTGGCATTAATTCACCAAGTGGCTGAAATGGCATGCCGGCTGGAGCATCTATCAAACACACAGGCAAATCTATACCAAAAAATCCTTGCTCAAACCATGAGATTATGTCAGCACCTAAAAACGGCCCCTGAATCTCTCCTTGAGGGTCTTGATAGAACAAACTCATTTCTTCAGGAGGAACAGTAGATTTAAAAATCTTCACTTCCTTGTTATTTTGATATTGTGCACCTTCACTTGGAATGTCCTGGACAAATGGCATATCAAATAGAGAATTCGAGTCATCAGGTAGCTTTGTACTAACATCAAAGGAAGAAATTGAGTTAGTTCCCTCGAGCTTTCTATCTTCAATCACTGTATTCTTCCCAACAACCTGCTGTTCAGTATTGGCAAGGAACTGATCTGTCACCTTGCTATTATAGTGAACACCATCCCCTGAAACAAATTCAGTTACAGCACCAGTATCCGACCCGCTACTCACATAATTTACCTTATAAGATTCATCAAAGTTTGAGTCTGGATCATCTAATACATTTATCCCTTTGTTGTGAGAACTGCCGTGTCCAGTTAAATCGTTCAGTGATTTTTCTTTATTCTCAACCAGAGTCATGCCTCCAGCGTCTACCTCACAGTCACCATTTCCTGCCATCATCTCTTTATTTGTATTATAAGAAACTTCACTGCTAGCAATTCTCCCCTTTGAAATATCATCTAGAACAGCCCCTTCCTCCGGCCCAGGAACTATGAAAGCTAGCGGTCCTATTAAGCTCGATTGAGTTACTGAAGGAACATCCTCAAGACCATCAGGTGTTTGATCAAAAAGTGGGAGTGCCTTTTGTTTTCTATATATATCAAGGAGTTTACCCCTTGGGTAGTGATATGTACCTTTAGATATGCCAGACTTCCCATGCAGAATGTCCCTCATATTTACAGGTGCTGCACCAATAGGTCTAGCATTTGATTCACTGCTCAATGGCAGACCTCCGTTAAAGTTAGCTCTACCCCTTCCAGGAGAAAATCCCACATTTGAACCCTCCACTCGACCTCTGTCTAAACCAAAACCAGGAGCAGCACGATAAACTGATGACCCGCCTGAATGAGCTTCCTGACGATGGCGTGGCCTCCATTTGTCACGGGAATCAGACTCGGTCAGTGAACGGTTGTTACCAGCAAATGATTGCTTTTCAGAATGCTGATCCTCCTTCCCCGCCTCCACCTTTCTTTCAGTTCGAGAGTCCTTGTCTTTGTCTTCTGGACCCCATCGAGATGACCATTTGTTGTCACGCCGCCCTTCATGTGCAGAATTACGACCCGTGACTTCATGCCACCGATCAGAAGTAGGCAAAGACCTAGAATCAGCACTTTCCCTGGTGGAATTACTGTCAGAACGGCGGTCATTCTTACGGTGTTCATTCTCTCGATCTCCTTCTTTTCTGCGCTCTCTCCTACCAAGCAAGCCAGTTTCCCTCTCCTCATCACGCCAGCGACGAGGTTCTATGTCAGGAACATTCCTTCTCCATTCTTTCTTGTCCTGAGATCCATCCAGTCGCCAAGAATCTTTATGAATTGTATCTGACAAGGTTCCATGGCGCATGTCCTACACAGTACATTCAGTACATTAAAAAATTATAACTAAAAAGATGTGTGTGGCTGAAGAGGCTCCATGGCGTGTTCAACGCAATATGTTGTACGTCCAGAAAATACATCTGATAATCAGAAAATATGCTATCTGAAGAGGTTTCATCACTCGTGTCCTACAAATATTAAATACAATTTTAAAAAAACGCTAGTTTAAAAACTAAAGCAGAAACATAAATAGTAAGAGAGACAAGTGTCATTCAAACACAAAATGCATGCTCTCTATTATGGATATTGTAAAATACAGAGGTCTTGGGCAGCAAGGCGTGGGCCTTTGAGGTCTTAATGTCTTATGCAGACTCCTTATTGCTCAATTCTCACAAAGCAACCAAACATTAAAGCATAGGCAATTCCCACTGCATAAGGCAAAAGCTAATACAACTGATTTGCTGAACCTATTTATTTTAATATCTGTGGTTCCTTATGGTGCTAACATAAACAAATACCAGCACATAGAAAAACATAAAATGATACGCTACCTGACCTTTAAATTGAAGAGTCAAATCTAGCAGTAACTACAATGTGTAGCAAAAAGCATATGCATTAACGATATGAAATCTTAATCTTTCTCTACTGTGAATATGAACTGAGACAGTTTGTGGCAAAGCTCGCAGCTTTGTAATTGCATGTCAGCCTAGGAATAGGAGGGAAAGGATCAGACAGACCAAAGAAAAAAAAATTATCTGCATAGTTAAATAAATGAAAGATATAAAACTACAAAAAGTTGGACATCCAAACTAAAAAATCTTTCTCCTGAAAATGTGGAAATACCAACCTTGCTTTCAGTAGGTTTAGCATATAGCCACTGGGGAGACAAAGGTATACTGTTCTCAGAAGTCAATTGATCTGCATCAAGGACTCACATAAGATACTGGAGAAAAGAACTTATAAAGAGAAAATATATATATATATATATATATATATATATATATATATATATATATATATATATTTTCTCTTTATAAGTTCTTTTCTCCAGTATCTTATGTGAGTCCTTGATGCAGATCAATTGACATCAGACTGTAAATTAATGTTTATAAGAACAGAAATTAGAAAGCTAAAAGACCTTATGCATCAAACAAGCAATACTAGGCTTGCCAAAGGCAATGGTGCATGTAAAGAGTATAAATGTATAATACATATAAGAGATAGGCAACCATCACACAGTGACACAAAAACATGACTGGCTCTGCTGGACTGCAAGATTATGTTCAAGCAGAAGAATAACTAGTGATACCTTGCAAATGTGTGCTCCACAAATGGCAAGCTACGAAGGTGGTATACGAAATTTGTGAAGCTTCAGTTTTCCACATAGGAATGAACCAGCAAGTAACTTTCTAGCCAGACTAATTTAGACAAAGATGGCACGTACCATAAATATAAAAACTAATATACCACATCATACTAGCTCCAATTAACATTTCTCTAAGACTAGCCAAGGGCGCACACATTGAACTTGCAATATGGAATCCTCCCTCCCTTTGCACAAAAGAAAATAGATAATCCAACCATTCTTCGGTTTCTTCCCAACAAAGAAGCTCTTCCCTTGTTTAACAAGTTTGGTTTCACTAATTAATTCAGTACATCAAATGATCAAATGCATAGTAACTTGACATTCAGCTAACAGGAGATGTATCAATCATTTGTTGCCCGTGGAAACCGTGGCAGATTGAAGGACAAGAGGGGATACAGTGATGGGAAAGGTGGAGACAGCTCCAGTGGAGAGAAAGCCCAAAGCAAATGGCATTAACAGTATGAGGCGGTGGCAGGAGCTGAAAATATGGCAAGAAGTGACGATAGAGTCAAGGGCTGCAAGTGCAACGAGATGTAGAAGATAGAAATAAGGGAAACTGTTGGAAGAGGCAGGCTGCCCCGCTGCAAAGACAGCATGATATGAGATCGAGGTGGAAAAGGACAAATTAATCGAAATAGTTTTGTTTCATGTGTGAATCTACGGCATATGGATATGGATCCCCTCCCATTTGACATCCTAGCTGGAAAGCTGGCAGGCCGAAAATGAACCCTTCCACATCCTAATAAATAATAGATAAAATAATTGATCGTGATGCAAGTTAATAAGAAATCTACCTCCAGTGTTATCACCTTACAAGTTCTTATTCAAGGCAGTGGAATGAATACTAATCAATGCCAAGATAAGCTAAATTCAATGATGTACAATAAGTCATACAAGGTGCCTATTCAAGATCCAGAACTCCTTTAAATCATCAACGAACACGTAAATAACATCTTAGCTTCTCTTTAATGCAATCGCTTTAACTTTATAGAGGCATACAAGAACATAATCACACAAACAAACACAATATATAAATGGCCTGGATTTGAGAACAATTTTAATAGGGATCACCTTTGGATTCATCAACAAACCCCATGGGAACCTTCTCATCTTCATTTCCTTCTCCTCCTAGTGTACCACCTGAGAATGAAAGGGGAATATTCCTTTAATCGTCAGAAAAGAAGATCACGACAAGCTCGTTTCTTCTAAACCCAAACTGCTAAAGGACGTCAAAATCTACATGTACAAACCTGGTAATCTTGAAAGATCATATATAAACATAAAGAAATTGTCTTTCAATCTTACCGGCATCCAAACTTCAGAAAGCAAAAATAATTCTTTATTTAAAAAACTTATTTCTTGAAGTAAAGGCACTATTTTTCCTGCTAACTTGAAGAGTCAGATCCAGAATGAAATGTTCACAATTAAACCCTAAATTATTCAATTACAAACAAAGTTCAAGATTCACATCCAAAAGCACATGATTCCAATCAAAAAAAATGTCTCGGATTTCTATCCGAAACGAAAACCCTAAATCAGGACCGCGAGGTTACCTCTTCCATGATCCTTGCTCAGATCGCGCTTTTCTTCCGCCATTCGAACGAGAAAACGAGAGAGATCGCTGAGATCCGAACCGTGATGACGTTTCTAATACGAAATTGAAAGAGAACCGGAGAATTTTTTAGATCAGGGTTTCAGAGGAGCTAGGGTTAGGGTTTTCAGATTCGAGAGGGTAGAGGGAGAGACAGCTTGGGCGGTGAAAGGAGACTCAGAACAGCGAAACGAGAAGTGACGAAAGATCGTAGAGAAAACGATAATTTTTATTTTTTTTATTTTATGATAAAAAAACAAATTATCGCCAAATTTATCATTGAACTGTTTTTCCCCTCTTGTTTTTCACCTAGGATTGTCGGACCCGCCATTTGCAAAACACAAGGAGGGCATTAGTTGGGTGGGCGATGGTGGTGGTGACTGAAAGAACGGCTGATATGTTTATTCCCATCAAATTTTTACGAGCTCAAAAGTAGGGGGTGAAGTGAACCAAATAATTACTAAACAATTCTGTTAATATTCGTCCAAATCTTCGATCATATTCAATTTGATAGTTCATTTAATACTAAACAAAGAATTTTTAGTATATGTCTTATCAACGAATAGAATTTAACCGAAGTTATATTTGATTTAGTTAATTATTAAATATTCGTTTATATTTTATATAAAAAGATTATTTGTTATAAATTTCATTCTTTAAAAAAATTCTACACATTTAAATCCATGTAAGTAAGTTAATAAGGCTAGGCTATCACAAGTCAGTAGTTTGGATCCAACATATAAGTTTTACCATAGGCCCATTTTAACAACTCCGTAGTCCAGACCCATCTAATAGAAATAGTACTCAACAGGCTTTTAGGGTTTTCTCTTGCCTCGCGTTTCTCATGTAATTTCAAGTCGCCGCTCTTGAAAAAGTAGCAGCTCACGGCTCTCTCTCTTCATCTCGTGTTAGACGGGGGCCATCGATGAGGGCCTCACTTCCAAGCTTTCATAATTTTTTCATGTTCAACGAGCGGAAGCTCTCTCTAGAGATGATGATGAGATTGATGGAGTGACTTAATCGAATACCAACAAAATTATTATTGTTTTTTCTAATCAGTGCACTAGTGGGTCTCCGTTGTACATGACCAAACCATTATAATCTATTTTCTCTCATTTTATCCCCAATAAGAGCAACCTCTAATTTACTACAAATGCACTCATTTCTTATCTTATCTTTTAATGTATACCCACAAGACCATTGCAACATTCTCATTTCTACTTCAATTTATAAAAATAAGAATAATAATAATTTATTCAAAAAATAATAATAAGTATATTACTCTCTACTTCATTACTTCGACATTCCAAGAAAGAGAAGCATGGGCTTCCGTGCTGAGTTATTAATTTTGGGAAAAAATTTAAAGAGAATGGACACCCATACTATTCTCTCTTATAACATAAAAGTTGTGTATTAGTAGTAGTGTAGTTATCATTTCTCTGTTTATAAAGATTATGATTCATACATAATCATAAAAAAATAGAAAAATATATAGAAATTAATTAGTGCCCCACCAACAAGTTGGTTAAACCCCAACTTAAAAAGCATAGATCATTTTCGACCGCGGCTAGACAAATACTTGATTGGAAATGAATATACGCTTTATGCAACGAAGTTTGCAAAATCAACAACTTTTGTGAAATTAATCAAAACAATGAATTTGGAAATACGTTTTCTAAAAACAAACAAAGAATAGATCTATGGTTGGTTTTTGCCGACAAATCGTACATGCAACACTTTATGCCACAACAATTCCATACTAATAGTGATAGTACACCAAACAACTTTCATGATGAAAATAATTTTCCTAATTAAAAAGAAACAAAACATTCATCAAACAAGGAGCATGAGGTTGGTTTCCTACAATAGATGCTACGTGGAATATTTTCTATTGCATCATTTCCACATTTATAGTTGCAATATACCAAACAACCATACAGTTCATCATGCTAAATAAGAAGTTAAGCATTCAGAATATACTATAACAATGATGTTCGTCCACTTAATCACAACGAGATAGATGAGTGTCTATTTTATCTATTGATCGTTTAATTTTCTAAATAAAGATAGACGCAAGCGGGTGTCAACATGAATGTAGTCATGTTAATGTTAGTAAACACCCAAATGATTGTCATCCCGATTGTACAGAGAGATAACCTTGAACACCTTCATTTATTATTCCCATCTTAAATAGTTGTTGAGCAGCAAAGCAACCAAAAATCACAAGAAATAACTTTTGACTTCCTTTCCAAGCCTATTCTTTTTAAGGTTATTTATATATTTATTCCTTTGTAAAATTATCCCTCAAATCATAGTATTTGTAAAACTACCTCTCAAATCATCAAAACGGAAGAAGAAGAAAAAATACCCTTCACTAACTCTGTTCTCTTTCTTAATGTTCTTCTCACCTTCAAAACTAAACAACGTTCAACTCTCTTCATCTCCTCCAACTATCAACCTAGTCATGGAGTTCTCATCTTCATCAACTAGTAGATCATGGTAACCTATTTGTCATTGTAGGCTCCCACGTTAAGTATTCACTTGCCAAAGAGGAGAGATAAAGGGAGAAAATGTCATCGGTGCTCAAGGTTTATCTCCAAGGAGTTTCAAGGATGAAATTTCTTTAAGTGTGTTGCGATTAGAGAGACGATGAAGATGACAACATCCACTGACATCGTTTGTGATGATATTGTAGCTATAAAGACCAAAAAATATTGAAAATTCTCTTGATATTGTAAGAGGTAAAGTATGTAAAATCGAGAGAGTAATTGCTGAAATTGTATGGGTTGTTAAAGTACTTGGATTTTTTTGTGTTTGTCTTCTTTGTTATGATGTATAATTTGATGAGAGTTGTGTAATCTTTCTATAGTTATGAATAAAAAGCTGTGTTTGTTTGCTGGCGGTGAGAGAAGAGGGAGCAGAGGCGGGCCGCAAGGGGAGAGGAAGTTGTTGGCGGCGAGAGAAGCGGGAGCGGAGGCGGCTGACAGTAGGAGTAGGAAGAGGTGGGGGGAGAGTCAGGAGTTTGACTGTTTGAGAAAGGAGGCGGCGGGAGTGGGAGAAAGAGACAGAGAGAATAGGGTTAGGTTTGGGTAATGAGTTCGAGTTTGGGTTCGGGTTTAGACCGTGTAGGGGTTTAAAATTTTGTTTTTTTTTCCTTTTGTTTTAAAAGCAAGGCGGCGCCTAGGTGAAGCGGTCACCTAGGCTGGCCGCTCTAGCCAAAATTAGGCCGCCAAGTGGATTAGAATGTGAGTATAATCCCACATTGAATAGAATTTAAAAAGTGACGAGTTTAAATTAGATGTTGGGATCAAAACATAGTAGTTATAACATTTAGCTTAACCTTTAAATTAGCAGAGGACATCAAGAGTCAATATCAGGTGAAAACTATTTATATAAAAATGATAATATCACATCAGCTTTCACATTAACTTTTTACATTTTTGCTTTCCGATTGTTAAACAAAATTTCTAATAGAATTTAAAAAGAAAATAAGTTATTCTAAAAGTAATTTCTCTTTTCTTTACTTTCTATTTTCCATTTAATTTTCGGTGGCCAAACAAGTGCTTAAGTAAGCTACAGAAAGTAGGTGCTAGATTGTGTAGCTTCACGTGAAGAAAAGAACATGAATTTGTTTGTAACCAAGTGCTTCCTCAATCACTACTATAGAAGCTATAAAGTTGTGGCTTATGGCCTACTTCTTTGCTAAAAAAACAAGCTCAATAAAGGGCTAACTTGCAACCTGTGTCTTGTCCTTTTGACTAGGGGTGGAAACAAATTGAATCTGAACGAATAGTGTCTTATTCAAATTCGAATTTGAATTTGGCTCAAATAGCACTATTCGTATTCATGTTCGAATTTGACTCGAATAATATTCAAAATTCGAATTCGCTTCGTTTAGTTGTGTACATGTTCGGTAACTATTCGCGAACATTCGATTAACAATATTTCATGGTTTTGGTATTAAGTTGTGCAAAATTATCTGTAAAAGGTATAAAGAAGTAATCTTTAGCAATTAGTATAAATTAAAAATCAAGAATAATGGTAACTTTAAGCTTCAACATCTTTAGCAATTAGTATAAATTAAAAATCAAGAATAATGGTAACTTTAAGCTTCAACTTACATTTTGATGACTCGAGAGGATTAAAAATCAAGAATAATGGTAACTTTAAGCTTCAACTTACATTTTGATGACTCGAGAGGGAAGACAGTCGAGGGAGGAGTAAATGACGATCTTCGAGGGACGATGAGCTTCAAGGGATTCGAGGGAGGAGTCAACCACGAGATTCGAGGGACGACGAGATTCGAGGGACAAGTGAACGACAAGCTTCGAGGGAGAACAGTGAAAACCCTACTAGTGTACCTACTTAGTTTACTTACAGCATAAGCAGTATATGGCCTTGTGCAGTTCATTAGGTACATTAGACTCCTGATAATCTGTGAATAATCCAGTTGCCTCGTTACAACTCCTGTATTCTCACAAAGGCGAATGTGAGGGAGGAAAGGATTGCTAGGTCTCATGTTTATGAGCCTACTATCTAATCTTATTTTGATGATTTATAAATAATCCCTAATATCGTTTGTCTAGTATTTGTATTTGTTTATTAGGTATTCTAGACAAACATCGATGTTGGAAGTTGGATGGATTGCATCTTAACGATGACATTCAATGGATGTTAGCGGAATATCGGAATGAAACCATTTGTAATTCAAAGTCAAATTCAAGATCAAGCTTCATCCGCCACCAAGACGAGTATTTGGGGAGAAAGTTGATGTTTTCATTAATGTATTCATTACAACTTTAGTCGTTACAATGAAAACAAAAAAATAGTCTTTTTATAAGACTCTTACACTATGAAAACGAAAAAAATACAACTCTCATCAAAACAAACGCAACAGACGTTTATCCTCCGCTGCTTGCGTGAGATCTTAGCATGTGACGGGGATGTTGATATCCGTGAACTACCAAATAATCAGATCAGATCTGGAGCTTCATTGATTCGCTAAGGAATAAAAAAACTAAAGCAATTATCTCGGCAACAGCAAGATAATCACTCTTCTCGTGATTACCGCAACGGGGCAATCTCAAGGCAAAGAACCAGGAAGTGTAGATCTGACGAGCTCCTCTTCTTTATGCTGACAAACTCGATTCGATCTCCTCCTCTCTTTTGAAATTCATACTCCTTCAGTCTTCAATCCAACAGGGCTTCGCCACCACTTGAGAATTTCAG